TGATGATGAGGATGATGATGATGATGATGATGATGATGATGTTGATGATGATGATGATGAGATGATGATGATAATGATGATGGAGACCAAAGCGAAACACAAGTCCTGTTGAATAGACTGTCCACCATCATACCATCTTTAAGAATGCATCTTGCAATTTCGAAGTGCAAAATCATGCTTCAAAACGTGCAGTTTCTCGACATACCCCTTAGAATTCAGGGAAAAACACTGGATATGGTGGAAAATTTTATATACTTCGGTACTTGTATTAGCTGTGATGGAAATGCGTCGGATGAAGTCAGCGCAAGAATATCAAAGACGCGTTTCACATTTGCTGATATGAGTCACTTGTGGCATCAAAAGACATCTCACTAGATCATAAGGGTCGCGTGTATTAGGCTACAGTAAGACTGTATGAGTGTGAGACATGACTTCTGTGGGCAGATGATGTGAGGTCTCTTCAGGTTTTTGACCACCGATGCCTCAAAAGCGTTGCTGGTTGTGGATGGCGTCAGGATGTTAGTAATGAGATGACTAGAAAACAGGTGTGTGGTTGGGTAACTGGCACTCTAATCACCGAGAACATCCAGCATCATCAGCTGCGGCGACTCGGCCATGTGCTACGCATGTCGAAACACCGTCTAACGAGGCGAGTTTTGTTCTTTGTGCCTCCTTCGGGATCGCACAAACTGCAAGGTGGACTACGTACGCATTGGTAAGAGGGCGTTACGCCTTTCAGGATGGTGTCACCGTGATCCCGCCCGTTCAGGATCGCACAAACTGCGAGGTGGACTACGTACGCATTGGTAAAAGGATGGTGTCACCGTGATCCCGCCCGTTCTTGGCTAACTACATTGCAATTAATAGTCTTCTTGCTGTCCGTTTCCTTTCAGATTGTCTGTTTGAGCGCTTGGAGTTGTAGGCACCCCAGAACACTTGACATAGGCTGGCACTGGGTCTCCTCCCTCACCTACGTTTTCCTCTTCTTTTCACTCTAGCGCTTTAAGCATAATTAGACGAACCTTATGGTTGTATTGCAGTGAACCACCAATGTCAACACTGTACGATCAGTACGTCAACCTCTTCGGCCATATCTCAGTAATTTTGAGGGCTGAAATGAACCATAGATTTACTCATTTTGGCATTCAGATTTTAGCTCGCCCAACACTGGCGCCACTTGAAGGTTTTCATTCAGTTTATCGGTGGAGAACTGAAGTATTGATGTTTAGGCGAATGTCATCGAGTAAAGGATTCAGTTGTACCAAGCTTGAGCACTTCGTTATAACAGCACAGTCTAATGTCTTTACGCAGTGACACATATTTATGGGTTTATTTTGTTGAGCGATGACGCGTGAGCCCAAGACACCAGTGAGCATCGAGATGTTCTTTCTTTTTTTCACGTTGTCCAGTGTATCTTCATCAGACACTGCTATTTACTCGGTTAGCACGATGGTAGACAATAACCGAGCCGTTTGTAGGGTACTGGATTGCCATGTTGCTGTCAACGATGATGAGGTTGAATACAACGTAGCTTTGCCGGTGATGATGATGATGATGCTTATGATGAATGTTGATGTGCATGGACGATGTCATGGCCAGAAACTTCAGGCCAGTGTTTGGTTTAACAAACAAATAACGAAGTAGACAGGTATTACCACCGACTGAACGTTAAAAGTGAAATCACTTGAACCGAGTGATAGGTAATATAAGTTCTACATCACCGTGGAACCAATGCAAGTTACACATTTCGACACTCTATATCGCTAGGTCATCCTGTGTCACTCGCGCTGAAGTATAATTTAATCTTTGAAGGGCACAATGTATTTGGCCAGTTTTTGATCAATAGTTTCCCCTAACTGTGTGCTTAATATTCCGTTACTTTTTATCTTCTCCCCAAAAGAAAGAATACGATAAAAAGTGGAAAGCCAAACGGGAGGCTCTGAAGCGTTACGAGGCGCTGGATGAACAACGAAAACAGATGAGACAAAGTAGGTCTTTGTTTCACCACGTTTGGTTTTACGATTCACAAGTTGGCTCCGGACTGGAAATATTCTTCCCATTTGACTATGACGACTTGATATGTCGACCACTTTGGAGCTTTAGTTTGGACGAAGTCTGCATACATCCAGCTAGTAGGACTATTCATTTTAGTCTCTGAGGTACATTACGGGTTGGTCTCTNTCTCGTGTCCAAACCAAGACGACTACGCAATCGGGCCTCAGCAGCCCTTAGTCCACCTATCTGGGCGTTCATATCACCAGCAACCACAACGATATCTGGGCTTTTAGTCTGCTGTATAAGATTATCTAGAGCGTCATAGGAACTATCCTTGGCAGATCCAGGGCTACAGTTAGTTGGGGCGTAAGCAGACACAATAAACAAGGTGCGATGGACCTCACTCACACTAGATTCTCTCACAGATGTTGCGCAGCGAACCGCACAGAAGCGACCATCAATGGGTATCCAATCAAGTAGAGATTATCTCGCTCGGTCACTCAATACAATACCCACCCCAGCATATCCAGCCGCAGCGGCCTCTGCATCACCAGAGGTGCACAGTCCGAAATCTAGAAGATGGCGGGGGGCAGTCAGTTCGATCACAATGTTTGCGTCCTGCATCCTTTTTTTCTGACAGACAACACACATCGATGGAGAGAAAATCCAGCGTACGAGCGAGAGCCACCTGTTGACCTGATTGCTTCGGTGTGCGAACTTTGGAGGCGGCTAAGTAGATAGAAGTTTGGAAACAGACTTCGAAGCGTTTAGGGTTGCAACTAAACTCGGACGTACAAAAGCTGCAGCTGAGTGTGATACAGGGCAAGAAAAAAGGTCAGTTCTGGCGCTAGGACTTGCGGAGAGAGTACTCAAATTTGGGTGGGGTAAGATTACATCGCTATCATCAACGGTGACGAAGTCTTGTCAGCCATCTACAGGCCATTCAACATGTCTTCAAAGACAATCCAACTCTACGTTCGTGTGGTTCCAGCCAAACTAGAACAGACATATCCAAAGTGGATGTTCAGGATGTGACACTTAAGAAGTAGAATACATAAAACGAAAAAACCGAACCAAAGACTTACTCTGGTCACAGGATCATGCAGCAGATCATAATAATCTTTAAGCTGCTGAAATTCCTCCTCTGGGAGAGATGTAAAATTAGAAAAATACGAACTTACTTGCTTTCGGGTTGTTTGCATTTTTGTCGGGGTGCAATTCGCGAGCTTTCGTTTTGTATGCGCGTTTAAGATCTTTTGCTGAACAGTCCTCCTTAAGACCAAAGAACGCGTAGAGATCGACGTCCATAACAAGGGGGAATAGCGAGACTGCCACAGTATTGTAAATGGAAGCGGGCTTCTATCTCCACCCGCTGGAGCAAATGAACTGGGAAAACGATTGTGTCCAGAAGTCCGATAGTTACATCGAACCAATCCCAGAAGATCAGCAAATCAAACGGAAGATATAGTATTTCGTAGCATTATGTTTCCTAAAAAACACAATATACAGTACTAATATGTTACTCCTGCTCTCTTTTGATGAGCTTGCCAAGCCAACCAATCCCTACAAGGACACCGTACGCATATCCTTCTTAAATGATCCGCTCGAAGTTATTCTATACGAAGTCGTATTTGCTAGTGGTACCAATGAACGGTTTTTCTGCCGTTTTTCTGAGTGCGGACCTCGAGATGGGACACATCAATGGTTAGATATATGACTGATGCTGAAAGGGTGCTGTAGCACCCTTTCGGTACCTAGCTGCCATACCACCCGAAGGAACAACGAAGGGTGGAGTACTTCCAGGTTGCCCAAGACTAGACTAAGGAGGTCGGGTTCGAACCACGGATCTTTCGGTCAGTAAATTCGCACTCTAACTAGTTGAGCCACCTAGCCCCCAGGGAGGTGGCAATGGCTTTCATACTTCATCACCACATGTTCGTTTGGCCTCCCCTGGCTCGTTTCTACCCTTCACGTAGTTGTGCGAAACGAAGTCAGTCGAATGACATACTGAGCGCGTGACCGAGCCAGCACAAGCTATGCAGTGTGATCTGTTCATCTATCGTGAGTGCGTTTTCTTCCGAAAACCATTGAACCTACTTCATAATTGCTAATCCGGTGTTCCCGCCAGGCTTGGGCAATGCTGCGAAGACGTCGACGGTCGAACACTGAAGGTCCTTTGACGTCCTCGGTGCACAGCGGCCGAGTTTTTCATTCATATAATAATGTGGAGCACACCCCAGCATTATGAACCCCACCCCCGACGGATAAGCTGATGTCACGTCTACGCAACAGGCAGACGGTCATCAGTCATCAATCGGAGCGCGAACGTCAAACGTGACGGCTGATGTTGTTACCGCAACCTCGTAAACAATCTCTTGTTGATTCGTCCCAGACAAATCGGACCTGCATGATGAATACCTTATTTGCGACTGTGTACATAGTTGCTGGATGGTCCTTTAGTTATCACTGAGTTGTGTCAACAACACTCAGATCACGCATGCAGAAACCATGTAAGTCACCGGGGATTACATGTAAAAAAAACTTTACACCTAAGGCAACGACGGGGTGCACCTGGATCAGTACGTACGTACGTAAACCAAAGTAAGGTTGTGTTTGTTATTAAGGTCCTACGGAACCTTTCTTGAACTACTCACAGGCCATAAAAATGAAAAATCGAAACGGTCGTAATGGTGGTATTCGTTCCTTTCCCAATCTCCAGTCCAAAGACACTATTTACGTATCCAATGTCAGCCCCCGCTCCGGCAGTACGCAGAGAGAAGCAAAGCAATTAAATTTACCTCCAGCATGTTTTAATGATTCAGCTTTACCCAGCTTAAGTTTCTAGGAAACTACCCGAGATCCAAAGAAACATTGATGGAGGGGACCCACTGGGGGTCACTGAAGAAGAGTTAAAAAGTATCTCATTTTATGGTCGCCAACCCCAGCTTTCCGAGTCGACAGAACCTGTGGATATCATAACGAACGGCAGCATTTGTTGGTAGCTGTTAGGAGGAACCTTGCACCAAAACGGCCTCATTGCCCACAGATGGGAACTCTTACTGCCAAGAGCCCAACTCAGCTCGTGATTGGTGAGAAGACGGGTTGCTGGTCCCCTTAGCACCAAGGCAAACTCTGATTGGTCAAAAACAAAAGACCAAGCAGTTAATGCTAGTGGTCAGTGGCGCATCCAGAAGGCGTCAGAATCTCTGAAATGTTATCGCTGCTTACACTTTGAATTCGACGCAACGTACATTGCTTCTGGACCTGATTGTGAGTGTGTAATAAACTCTTTGCAATTGTGGCGTTTTGTACATTTGTTTCACTTCCATTATAACACTACGTATTTCATCAATTACGTAATCGTTTTTTGTTTGAATACGAAAAACTACAAGAACGCGCACTTGTACAATTTCACATAATACAAGCGTGGTGTAGCAGACTAGGACCTAATCAGCGTGTTCGGATAAATTAACAAGCAAAAGTAACCAATGCAAAATCACAAAAATCACAATAGGAAAGGAATGAGTAGTCAAATGGGGACTNAGAAGAAGACCTCTGGACCAACGTAATTGGATTATTGTTTATTCGCTGACCTGGGCGAACGACGAACCGTTTTGAAGAGAACAATTGTTAGTGAGTCTGTTCCATTTGATCTCTTTATTTTTGTGTACCCAACCTAGCGTAATTATTTTTATTTCTTTGCCGCACACACCTGGTAAACTAACTTATTGGGTCGCCAGACGACTACACAATCTCGGCGGTTCTTGGACTCTCAGGCCGAGAACCAGTGGAGGCATTACCATCACCGCAGCTGGAGAAAAGGAACTTACAATATCTCTCAGGTCCGAAAATTATCGCAATAACAACAAGATCAGTTTGGGGGTGCACACCTGAAGGTCATCGGACCATTGACTAATGAGTCAGCGTCTGACAATGGACGTTCAATAAACCACCAGCCAGTGCCAGTGAGCCACCTATTTCTTCAGCCGATGCATAGGCATTTTCAGCCCCCGATAGCTTATCACAACCCAACCTGGTCAAACTTTAGACGAAGAGTTGTTCAAAACTGATGTTGATGACGGATGGTGCGATACATCACCGCTGCGAAAATTTGGCACACGAGTACTGGCGCCGAGCAAACTTCATTCTTTCCAGGCTGTCTCGCTGCTTCAGTGCTCGTAAAACTGTATCAGATATTTGGTGACCAAGTCTCACTGTTTAATATCCAGTACCAAAGCCTTAATCTGTGTGAGAATTATAATGACGATTCCACCACGTTTTTCTGTTCCATAAATCAGTGGTTCGAGCGTTTAAAGCTCGATTGAAAGGCGGAAAAACAGTCTCAGTACCTTACCGTATCCGGTGTTGGGGCACTGCAACGTCGCACCAGCATCCTGTTCAAACCTGTGAGAAAGCCGGCGTCCCATTGGCCTGAAGCAATGATCGGACGGTCACCTGTTACTTTCTGTATCCACGCAATCAACAGCAACTTCCCAGGGAAGTCCAGTAGCGAACCCCGTCGAAAAGTGTTAACATTAAACAAGCTGCTGGGACTCCACACTTTACCGACAAATCGATGAGGTCGCCAGGGTTGCTCCTCCTGGTCCCTAGCTGAGCTGCTTGCTGGAGCTTGATCGATTGAATGGGGAGATTAGATGTGCGCGCTTTTATCGAAGGTACGCAGATAATATTTTTATGGCAGTATCATACCGTTCCCAAAAGGATGCTCTCCTGACCAACTTCACTCAAGCACACCAATTCAGTTCACTTTTGATATTGTTAGTGACAACGCTTACCACTTCTTGGACGTGTGTTTAGTCAGATTTCCAAGTGTTCAATTCAGAGGTCTGTCTATAGAAAGCCCACGTGGACGGGACAGTATACAAACTTCATGAGTTCTGTGCCACTGAGGCGGAAACGAACCCTGATTCAAGCTTTAAAGAACCGAGAAAAACGCATTTGCTCTGTTGATACACTGGACTCTGAACTGCAGTACATTGCCAACGTGCTCCGAGCCAATGGTAACCGGGAGAGATGTATAACCAAGAACATGTCCGACCGCCCCATTCAGCCGCCCATCACGACCGATGGAAAGAAGCCGATATACTTGTATTTACCGTATAAAGACGATTTGTTGGCGGACATAGTCAGTCGCCGTCTGTTTCAATCCTCACAACGCGCGTTTCCGGCCGGAACTCTGCGGTCTTGGTCTACAATAAACACTTTGCTTAACTCAAACCTCAAAGACAAGATACTTGTCCTCACCCAGAATATGGTGGTGGATTTTTCCTCCTGCTGTTGTTAAGCGGTATATGTTAGGCGCACAACACGGCAACCTTCTGAAAGAATACGCGAGCATCTCTTACCGGAATAACAGTAACCTCATTAGTTCAGCAAGTAGCTCAACTGCATCCCACCTAATTTACACCGGGCACGTAGTCATGCCAAATTAGCCATTTCAAGTCAGTAACCATGTGCCAAATAGATTGTCAGTATCTATTCAACGGCGTTGCTTGACTACGGCCGAGGCAGTCGCTGTTCGCCTGTGAAACCCGGTACCGTGCTTCAAAAACGTTTCTTACGAACGATTCACGGATTCCCGGATTGACGGACTGGTACACAGGATCGTGCTTTTGCCCAAGTTTCCCGGGTCGGTTTTGTTCTTGTCGGTCAGTGGCTGTCGTTCACCTGAAAGGCACAGGTGAAAAAAGGGTGTAGCACTGCTCCTTACGTTTTCTGCCTTGGTCGTATGACACGAATCAGCCGGCCAAGTCACTCAATAGTCCTCTTGACTATCTCAGAGCGTCCAACAAGATGCGACATGTGGGGAGCACAGACAACCAGTTGTTCGTGTTCCCACGTTTTGCATTTCACTAATTCATCTTCGCAGCCTGTTTCATTTTTTCTATCCCATTTTAACCATTAGGACCTGATGACGAGATCCCGAAAACATTACTGTTCGTCAGTGTTCTTTTTCAAACTGTGACTACACCTTCGTTAATTATTGCTTTTTCAAGTGTCACAAAGTAGATCCATGTCGGCCACAGACGCCACACCCTCAGTACACAAAGATGCAGCTCTTTAATGGTGGCTAAAATTGGTGATTGTGTCATTCAACATTGATATTTCTTGCCGAGGATTGTTTATGACGGTTCACATCAAAAACACCCAAGTCTGTTTACAGCTTGATACGGGCTCCGACATAGCGCTGCTTAGTAAGCAATCGTGGGAACAAATCAACGAACCCAGTGTGAAATGGACGAACAGGAGGCTCGTACTGCTTCGGGGGTGAGCTAAAATTGGCTGCTGAGGCTGAGTGCTTCCTAAGCTTTAATGACTTGGTGACATGCTGCATGAATCCATACCACCCAAACTTTATTTCATGGGGTTGGATTGGATCGCTAAAGTGAATCTACCTGAAAAGCCTGGTAGTTTTATTCGCAAACGACGACCACTGTACTCGCCCAGGCTTTCGAACAAGCACACAACTCCAAGCGTTTTCTTG